TTGTCGATGCGGATTCGACTTTCCTTCGGTTCCGTTTTGGTGGGGCACCCAATCGCCGAATGACGGGTCTCATTCTTCTCGTTTTTCTAAAGGCTTTAGGAAGGCGGAAAGTTGTTTGGCAGCGTAGCAGCCAAATGACGGGAGAGAAATAAAATAAATAAAACGAATCTAAATATCAAATGCCTTTTGTTCAGGCTGATCGAAAAATGCGGTTATATTTAATGCGGCTCTGGATATTTAGTGTAAAAACGGAAGAAACCGTCAAATGGCTGCGTAAGACATGTTTCTTCCCTCGGCCCAGTTATTTTTTTCTGATTTCTCCAGATTCAGATCTATTTTTTTGACAAGACACCCTCCGGTTCTACTAGTTTTGAAGGCGTGTTTAGCCTCTCCTGATGGCTGCGCCATTTGTTCTGAATGCTTTTGGCCAGCTCAGTCGAAAATGTCAGGTAGTTGGCTTTGTCCAAATAATGTCGCCTCTTTCTCTCTCCCTCCCTCTTAAGACGCATTTCAGGTACTTGATTGTCTGATAGTAGTTATTTGAACCACTTCGAGCAACAAAGATGTGGTCATTTCGAATTACATTCAGAGTGAAAGACTTCAGTATGGTGATGAGACGCCCAGTCGCTTAGCAGTAGGACATTTGCGGTGCTGTACATCACTAGGTCACTGGAAATCTCAGACTGCAGGTCACAACCTCGATGGTCATTCCTATGGATACACTACGCCAGCTCGTCAAACACCTGATTGATGCATATTCTATCGTGTGGCGAGGTTGCACAAAAGATGGACCTTTTTGGTGAAAAGGTGAACACAAGAGTCCACGAGCATTGTGATTTCGCCGGGTACTTGGGAGACTGGCACCTTAGCGCTGATTACTAACTGAAGCAGGGTGTTTATGAACGGTTTAGCCATACTGAAGGATTTTCTGCTTTGAGAGTTTCCAGATATAATTTTTTTGTAGCAGTAGGAAGTGGAGTTTATACACTTTCACTTTAGAAATTGAAAATTCCGGGTTTTATTTAAACATCTTTGCAGCTTCATTATGCATATACGGATCAAAAGAATAGCTGTTAGGCAGGTAGACCTTCAAACACTGACGTGGTGGCCAATTAATGGGAGACTAGATAGTTACTTGTAGACCAGGTTTGACTTAATTTCAAAAACTACAGAAGCTTCTCGTCAAATGTGCTGCACAGTATTTGGGGGAGCTGTGATGGGAAACACACCTGTACAGAAATGTGCCAAAAGTTGGATTCCGGTGATTAATCACCCGAAGGTGAATTCTGTCCTTTTTCTCAATGTTAGGCTAAGGAAATTGTGTTTCCACTGTAAGTCTCTGCATTACCAGGCATTCAAACTAAGTGCATTTATTTTGTGACGTTTTCGCGTAGGCTTCAGTTGATAAGTGGCCAAAACTGCCATCGCTGTGGCATCTTGAGTCATCTCCTCTTCTCTTTTGCGGAAGTCGATTTGTGGACGATTGAATTGCTCCGAAGAATCGCTGTACCCATGTTGGTAATGTTGGTCCACACGCACATCGTACTTACTTGGTAAACTACGAAATCTTAACGAAAAAGCTGACTTCCGATTAATTTGGTTCAGTTGGAACTCCCCTCAGTTCAAACTGTAGCCCACTTCTTGAGGGTTTTCTTCTTTAATGGCTACGTACGTTACATCATTTCATCTTCTAAATTGTACAAGTTTCTACTTGTACCAGATACTCTGGATGTGGAAACACCTCTTTTCCCTTCCACTTTGATCTTGATTGTGTGCCAGTGCTTGCCAATTGAAATCCATCCGTCGTTTTTTTCCCCACCTTAGAAATAGTTAATACGCCTCCCCGTTGGATGGATTTGAAAGGTCAAGATTCTCTTTCAGAAATAGTTCACCATTTTGTAAGTCAATAACCGTGATTGGTTTGCGTAAAAATGTTTTTAAATTTGTAGTCTGATGGTTTACTTCTGATGAATAGTAGTGGCCTTTATTAACGAATAGTAGGTCTGGCAGACTAGTAGTGTAGATGCCATAACTAGGGCACCGGAATCAAACTTTTTAAGTCTAAGGACGATTGTCTAATCGTATATTGGAGAAGTATGTCTCAAGTTCGAGACTTCCAAGTTCAAGGATCATTGTGTACTTTTTTGGCTATGAGGGTGCCTCTCTACCACGTTCTTCGCTTATTCATTTCCCGGCGTTCCCTTATCATGTGGCCTAATCCCTTTTGACTTCTCCGAGTTCGATCTTGGTGTAGGCAGATTATGCTCTGTCATTTGTCATGATATAAATTTTGCTCACGCGTCAACTACAATAAGCGCCTTTCTTCTGTAATATTCTGCTATCTTACCAGGACGTTAGTCTTTTTGGAGTCCCACTGGAGGCATACGTATCCATATCGTTCATAAAGGGCAATAAGGTGTGGAGTGTTCCATCACATTTTTATTAATGCAGTGTCTGGATTAGTTAGGAAGACCTTTAAAAGTATAAAAAGTTAAAGGCGACGTCATTAAGGAAGCACAGAAGTTCTTGCGCGCTGGTTCGCTGAAGATTGAGCAGGTCCGTTTCGCATTATTTTTATGTAGAAACAATTAAAGAAGTAGGTCGGAAGTCGGGGTGTGTGTCACAGCAAAGGTATTTCAATGCTTTGTCCCATTTTTTATGTCCTTTGAATAAGCTGGGAAAGATTTCGAGGTCTTGTCTGTGGACTTTAGTGATTAGTTATTGCTGTAATGGAACAC